ACGTGGCTTGTTCAACACATACATGCGATTAGCAGCGAATGCCTTTCAAGTGCTGCAAACTTAAATGTAAGTGCTGTTTGTGGTTGGGGTAGTAGAAGTCTGACATCATCCAGTGATCAGAAACTGAAAGGTAAACTGATTTATTATCTTGAACTGAGGTGTACAGTATCGTCAAATGACTCTCGTATCCAGCAGCAAGCGATCAGAAACATCACCTGTACATTTTTGTGCAAATTACAACGCATTGTTGTTTCAAAGGACCACGTTGCACACAGAAAACAAATGACGGGAAAAAACCCAACAAAAAACATGTCTACATTTTGTGTAAAGTAAAACCACAGTAAGGCAGAGATGTTGTAATTAGTGGATGCACATTAAGCCTTCTTCGTTAAGAGCCTTGTCTGCCATGGCCATCATCTGACAGGAAACAACATTACATGAGAAAAAGCAGCCTGAAGAGCACAGCGATGGCACCAAACCAGCAAAATATATGCTTTTCTTATTTGGACAGAGTCATACACAATGACGCCGGCTGACAGTAGAGAAACCAAATGCAAAGGTTTTCATGATCTCACACAGTTTGCTGCATTTCTGTGATGCTGGTAATATCTGACTCCCACCTGTTCAGGGCTTCCCCCCGATGCTCATAAACTCTGTTAATTAACGGAAGCAGATGAATATGATTAAACACACCACTGTAGCCTTAACGGAGCTTCTTGACATCAAAACTGTCATTTAAAAAAAATTTTAAATCATGATCAAGTCAAATAATCATGAACATGTGTATGAACAACTGAAAGTGAAATTAGTATGTGACACTGCAGATGTTCTATTCCAGAGGTTTAACCCTTTGCTGCTCATCCTGTCGGGCAGGCGGGTGGTTTAAAAAAACTACTTCCAGAAGCACACGGCCGTCCTGTAACTAGCTTTAAACTCCCATCACAGTTACAGCAGAAATGAGGACTTTCTGCTGTTTGTATTCTCTCCTGTATTTATTCTTCAGATTCTAGCACCTTAATGTTAACGAAGTCAACGGAAAGCAGCTGCAGTGCGGCCCGAAAAACGGCCAGCGCCACGTGTTATAAAGCAGAGCGCGTATTTTTAGCTTCACAGCTGAGAAAACTCAGAAAATCTGACTGTACACAAGAAAGTGAAGACGCGTCGTCGTAGATAAACAGCTGACAGAGCGCCACCGCGAGCGAAACGCACAGAATAAGAAAAGTAGGAAAAGTTTTGGATTTCCTCGCCAAAGGACTGAGTGGTCTGGCTTCTGAGGGTGTTTTCGGTTGAATAATGGCAGCTGGAGATGAAACAAAATGCGTTTTCTAAAAAGGTCTGACTGTGTCTGGTCGACTGTGGATCATCGTCTGTATCTGGCTCGGAGTCATTCTACTTCTGAAGTGAAATGATTCCAAAAACGTCTACAGTGCATCTTCTGGGTTTTTAATACAATAATAGAAAATCTTAAAAACGTCTCTCAATTTGTAAAATGTCTGAAACACAGTTCACCACAAGTCACGCACGTAGTTTCTTTTTTTTTTTAAACGTTTGGGGGCATCTTGATAGAAAACCGGAGTCCAAATGGTAAAATTAAAAAGACTTTTTTACAACTTATCCCCCTGAACAGCTGCACTGTTCATCCCTTCAATCACATCTAGCCGGCGGTGGAGCCAGCAGAATGCCGTTTCAGAGGTTCTGGACAGGCTAAGAAAGCTCACCAAAATGATAGTGGCACATGATGGGATGACCACACAACCCTGATCAACTCCTCCTGAATGTAAGTGGTCACTTTTTGTCCATGGTTGGTTGTTTTACAATTGTGATTCCATTTTGCAACCCAGAGATTATTAACAAACACTGGTATCGGGGACAACAGGGATTCCTCTTGTGTCGCTCTCCTTCATCTCGAGTGTACTCCAGACCCCCGGTGCTGCTCATGCTGGTTAAAGAGGCCTTATATTCAGATGGGACCGCTCCTCCGCACGCAGGAGTGGAGGCGCTGCAAAAGTCTGCTTGTGAAGTTTAGTCAGCTTTGTTATGGCAGGTTGTGTGGGCCTTGTGCAGCGTCTTGATGGCCTGGCGGTAGATCCTGATGCGTCTGGGGCAGACCCTGCTGAGCCAGGTCTGGATTTTGCTGTCCGTGGTGTTCCTGAGGTGCGTCTTGAGGATCGTGGTGAGCAGGTGGATGCTCTTGCTGTTGGGGCTCTTGTTCAATGTGTAGCTGGTTGTCAGCTGCATGCATGTCTGGAACAACATTTCCTTCAACTGTAACAAACAAAAAGAAAAAGTTTTAAATTCTCAGAGGTCAGCCTGTAAAATCCACCAGAGAAGAAGAAAGAATGGCGCGACGAACACTCACCGTGAACCTCTGGAGGAGGCTCCACCTTCTGTGACTTGAGCCGCTCCATGTGTTCAACTGCCTGTAATGGTGGAAGGTGAAATGTTCTTATGTTTAGAAAGTGCACGCCGGATTGCAGACAGTCACACTGACTTCTGAACTTCAATAAAACATTAGCATATTAGCAAATAACGCTAGTCACCTTCACTGTAAACCTACAGCAGCAAACCCTTTGTTTTTTAAAGCTATTTTTTGGCCTTCATTGTACAGGACAGTGAAGAGAGAGAGACAGGAAAGTGGGGGAGAAGAAAGGGGGAAGGACCTGCAGCAAAGGACCATGAGCGGGAGTCGAACCCACGGCAGCTGCATCGGAGACTGTAGCTCCTGTACATGGGTCACCAGCTCAACCCACTGAGCCAGAGCAACGGCCCACAAACCCTTTTTAACAGCTCCTTACCTGCTGCAGCTCAATTTTCTGTGCATTCAGCTGCTCCTGCTGTCTCTCCAGCTCATCTCTCTGTTTCTGCAGGTCAACAGCCTTCAGGTTCAGGTCTTGTTCCTGCTGAGCGAGATGCTCCTCAAATTCCCTCATTTCTTCATCTGTGTAGGCCTGGTTCTGCTCCAGGGTCTGACGAACACAGAGTGAACGGGACATCCCTGATCAGAGTCCTGCCTCTTTTTAATTCAATAATGTCCACATGTATTGTGTCTCACCTCCCAGCTGTCTGGCTCCAAAAACTCCTTTTTCTTCGTCGCAACCAGAAACTCATCTAAAGAGACGAGCCGGTCTTTGTTAGAATCCACCTCGAAGGAAGACAAGAGCAAAAAGGTTTTTAAGCACAGATTTCACATTTAATTACTCACTGAAGGAAAAAGGAGAAAAAAATTGAGCGCTCCATTAAACACAAGACGCAAAGAGAAATAATTCTATTTTTTGTTTTCCTGTTTCCAGTCATGTAAATGGCTCCAGTACCTCGTTCATAACATGTTCTCTCATGCGAAGCCTCTCCTCCTCCATCTCCACCATGTCGTCCTCTTCATTGGTGGGGTCATAAATTTTTTCCAGCTGAAGTCACAGAGAACAACAGTCAGTGCAACAGTTTACTTAAAGGTCGCACATCTTCACGTGCCATGACTTTACCTCTTTGGTGAACAAAGCCTCGAGCTCCTGCTCATCAAAGAAGCCATCTCCATTGGTGTCTGAATTAGGAAAAAAGAAAAAGAAAACGCATCATGCAGGACTGAATGAATGGCTCACGGTCGCAGATCAACAGGTGCTTGGTGGTGAGGGTCTCACCGTGCAAGTTGAAAAAGGTCTTCGGGTCAAAATCCTCCGGGTCCAGGCCATCAGCTTCCTCCCACACCTCCTTCAGCTGATTCTGGCTCCCCTGCAACACGGAAGCAAAGTCACGTGTGAATAACAGATGAAAAACAAAACATATTTAAACATGTTGGTGGATAGTTGAACAGTTCTGGAAACTGCTGCCACCACGTGTCAGTACCATGTGGAGCTTAAATTCTTAACATCTGGACATTAAAAATGACACAGGATGGAAACAGCTTCTTCTCAGTAACTTCAACCAAACACGCCGTCTGAACCACGTACCGGATGGTTGACTTTGGGGTGGTCAGCGTGCTTCTTCCTCATCTCCTCGTAGTGCTCCTCCTCTTTCTTCCTGTCGTCGTCGTCCAGCGTCTTCAGGTGTTCTCGTCTGTCGTGCTCCTTCATCATCTCGTATCTCTTGAATTCCTCGTGCCGCTCTTTGTCATAATTCTCCAAATCCTTAGTGGCCTGGATGCAGGTGACAAACATGTTCAAGGGTTAACATTTATATGGTGCAATGTCTCATTTAACAGTTGTTTTTCTGAACTTTTAATAGAAAATCAACTTGTAAAGAATAAACCCAGAAAACAAACTGAAGCTGTAAACAGAATATTGGGCACATCTGGGAGAACTGATGACATCATTTGTTGATTCTTTACAAGTAAATACTGACGCAAGACGTTCCTAAAATGTTAATGTCCTGTTTTTAGATCATTAACTCATCAGACCTTTTTTTGACTTGCTAAGATTTTTAAGCTTGAACAATAATTAATATCCAACAGCAACATTCAAGCTGATCAATTCTTTGACTCTCGTGGCAGCAACATCCAACAGCAACAGCAGCTTCAGAGGATCTGAAAATGAAACTAACACCCAAAGTTTGGCTGACACCGGAGAGGTGTTGCAGCTTCGCACTGTGCAGTAATGATGCACAAAGGAAGAGTCACCAGAAGGAAGCCTCACCTGTGGCCTGATCACAACTGTCAAGGTCTTAATCTTAAACCACAGTCTCTTCAGGAAACAAGCGCCGTTAACAGAAAAAACTAAGCTCTTTTGCCATGATCAATAAAGCTGTGTTTGGAGAAAACAAAGAAGCAGATGGATGCTGTGAGACTGTGTGGCGGCCAGAGACACCGAGAGAAGAACGGAGTCCAGGAAATATCAGCAAAATCTGGATGGAAATGTCATGTAGTCAGTCAAAGGGAAACTGGAAAGGGACTAGAAAAGGACAATGTCCCAAAATGTACCATATTTAAATTCACCACTAAGAAGTGCAATTGTTTTTTAACGTCATTTGACATCCAGGAGCAGGAATATCTATCTATCTATCTATCTATCTATCTATCTATCTATCTATCTATCTATCTATCTATCCATCCATCCATCCATCCATCTATCCATCTATCCATCCATCTATCCATCTATCTATCTATCTATCTATCTATCTATCTATCCATCCATCCATCCATCCATCCATCTGGCTTGTAGACCTACTGATGCATTTTCTCCTTTCTGCTTGTATATAATCTGTGGTTGTTTAACCAAATTAAACCTTCCTGAAACCACTGATGTACAAATAAAGCATGAGCAGAACTCTATTGCGCAACGATAAACCACTTCCACAAAGTCGACCTTTTTTTATTGTACTTAAATGAAGCAGCAGCGAGCGTTACCGATTTGATGAGCCGATCCAGGTCGTCCACTTCAAACGTATGTGGGTTCATGTGGTTCAGGTACTCAAACTGTTTGAGCAGAGCCTGGTGGTCCACTGCGATGTCTGTTTAGGGGGTTACAGGTGACAGATATAAACACACATGGATATATGACGTTACATCTATTTACATCTAATTTCAACATAAATCAAACAGAGATGTTGGCGTACCATTGCCTCCTTCGAGGTCCTGCTTGGCTTTGATCAGGGTCCGGAGTCGGTTCACCTCCTGCCTTTTCAACTCGTCCAGTTTGGTTCTGACATGATGGCTGACAAAGTCCAGCTCTTTGGCCAGCTTACCTTGCTGTAGTTTAAACAAAATGATTGTTATTTAACACTAAGAAAGAAGCGTGTAAAAGATCTAAAACGATGAACTGAATAACGCAGCAGCCACTGTGTCACGATTCACTCAGAAGGTTCATCACATTCCTGGACAAGAGAGAGTTCACCAATGAGAACAGAAAAGCTTGTGAGAAAACACGTCTACCGTTGTGATAAAACCAAACAGACGGCAGGCAGGATACCTTAATGTCCTCCATGTCTGTGTTGTGGAGCTTTTCTCTGAAGTGCTGATCTTTCTCTAGAAAATCGATGACTTCTCTGAGGTAGCGATCATAGTGGAGTCCAGTGTCCTAGAAACATGAAAGAACATGAAACAAGCAAAATGTCACGTAAAAAACTATTTTACAGATAACAAGCTGAGTAATCCTACAGCTAGCATCACTTTTTAAAACATATCACCTCTCCTGATAGCATCAGACTATCACCAGCACTAAACAGACTGGCTGAACATGAGATAAATATCTGCTATCGACCAGGTTTGTGGCCACATGTTTGATGCAGTGTTGACAAGACTTCCCCAAAACTGTGCTGCTGCCTTCTGTAAATCGCCAGCTGCTCTGTGGTTAAAGACCACCTACTTATTACCCAATAAAAAAGGCTCCTCAGGCAGAAAAGAGTGCAGATACTCGTATCTATACAAAAAACACACATCTGGAACCGTTGTACTCGCAGTGAAACTGATCTGTGGGACAATCAGGTCTGAGGAGAGCACCTCCGAAAGGTATCGACTATAGCACGATGACAAACAAGGCGACCTGTCATTTAGTGTTAGTGGTGCTGTTATCACATCAAATCCCCTCTTGTTATTGCTGATAAAGAGGAAATGGTTTCATACACCAGTGGGGACAGAGCTTCCATGCAGGTGCTGCCTGCCATCCGGAGCTACTTCAGGTTCAGTGTCTTGTCCAAGGACACGTCGACAACCTGCTCCTCCACCTGAGCCACAGCCGCCCTTATAAAGCAGATAATAACAGCAACATGGCTGCATAACAGGTTTGTAATTAGCTAATAACACATGCGAATTAATTACTGTGCACTCATTAATCATCTGCTGAATAAAACGCTTTAATCTGCGTATTTGCGTTCTGTCTGACCTGCCAGAACAAAAACAGAACTGAGAGAAGAATGAAACAGACAAATACAACCCATTTAGGAAGCAGTAATGAGCAACGCTTTGTTATTTAAAAGTGGAACGACACTTCAATTATCAAAACCAAGGGAATTAACAGAACGACCTCTTCACCACTGAGGTGCAGAGGATTCGTTGGCCTCATCAGGGCCCTCAAGATGCTCGGGGTGAAGGGACTGCACACCAGGAAGGCCATCAGGAGCATCACAGACGCCGCTGAAAAGGCGTCAGGATGGCTGTGGATCAAGCGGGGTGATCCTTGGACAACACGAGCTACTCAGACACAAGTCGGGGCCTGATCAGCCCTGGATGGGTCGCCTGGGAGACGCTGTGTGATGCTGCCAGACCCGAAACACCCAATGAAGGTGTGTCTGAGAGTTGTTAAGGACTTCCCTAATCTATTAATCTGTATTACTCCATGAAAAACATCACACTTCCTAAAATGGCTAAAACCCAACAGAACCGGACTGATGCTTTGTGATGAGTGCTCAGCTCGTGTATCAGTCCTGCTTCTTCTCACCACACTAGCTGGAGGCTCTTCAGGCTTCTTCTCCGGCTCTTTGACTTTGGTCTTGTCAATGCTGATGGGAACTGCCTCCAAACGCATCAGCTGGAGCAGCAGCAGAACCAAGCCGGTGTGGAAGGCCCGGCTCCAGCACATCTGGAAACAAGAGTCACATCGTTGTTATCTCAGGTGTACTTTAGTTTCTGGTTCTACAGCATGTGAACGCAAACAGTCAGCGTGTCCCTGGGTATGAGCCTCGTTCTGTGTCCAGCTTCCTCTTTTTCTCCCATTCAAACACCCCCCACAGGCTGCACACTGCTGGTTAGCTAATAATATCCACTGGAGCTTTAGCGCTGTCAGCTTTGGCTAATAAGTGACAAGCACCAAAAAGCAAAGGTACTCATGTAGCGTTAGGCTGTCGTTCTCAGCAGCGAAGCTTAGGCGACACGTAAAAAAACACTAAACGCGATTTTAAACGCTTCAGTAAAGAGCACCGTAGATGTGTCACTTGTATACTCACTTTATTATGAATCCTGGACCTCATCTGCTCTGCTTTCGTGCTGTCGCTTCCTCCCAGCTGGCGATGTGTCGGTAGCTAGCTCGCTAGTCAGCATGGTAGGTTGCGCGCCTGGTAGCGTTAACGTGATTGGTCAGTTTCGCTGTCCGTCAAGCAAACTAGCAAGTTGCGTTGCGTTGAGTCGTACGTGGCGAGATGACGACGGAGCAGGTGGGCGGGCCCTTCTGGTTTCTGATGGAGTCGATGAGATCGATTTGAAAGAGGAGTTCAGGGAACACACACAAAGTAGGATGAAAGAAGTCTGCGGTGTTCAGGAACAATCTGTGAGGTTTTTACGTTTTCAGTTTCCTTCTCTAACTTTTGAACCCTATTTTTGATCATTCAAACATTGGACAAATATAATATAATATGATATAATATTCATTCTATTATTATTTATTATTATTATTATTATTATTTTAATTTTATTTTTTTAAGTCTTGCATTTATTTATAGAAGTATCATCAGCAAGATGCAATGAAAGCATCAAATGTAAAGTACTAACTGCCACAGATATGTCAGTACTGTCACCCAGGTATAATTTTTTTGCTCTAGAAATGTTATGAGAAAATTTCAACTTCATATTATTATTATTTTTTTGTTTTTAGTTTCTCAGAGGCAGGAAAATGTTCTCTGAAGATGTTTGGTCATAACACCGTTGGACCATTAGGCACCAAATGTTCCTAAAACCAATGTTGTATTGAGGAGGATCCTTTTTATTGTCATTATAACACACGTTAGCATCGTGGGAATGTTTGACGTGTCACCTCAACAACACCCAAATTCTCCACAACATCCTCAGCGTATTGCAGGCAAAATGGTTTAGCTGTGTTAAATGTCACATTACTGGCACATTATACCAAAAAAACAAAAAAATCATCTGAGGCCTCAATAACATCTGGAAAACATATTTTTTAATGTTGGTTTGATAACTATCTGTCTTTGTCATGATGGAACATCATCTGTGGCCCTGACATCATCCTCCAAACATCTTCTGAATGTTGACCTTTAAACACTCTGCCTGGTTAACTTTCAGCCTTATGGAACCATCACTGATAATGATAAACATCCCGAAAACATTCTTTGAACATCAAATAAAAAATTCAAAACAATCTTGGAGGTAATGTCGGCCAACGTTGTGGGAACGTTCAGAGCTGAGTGGGCTATATGCTGTCTGATATGAAAACTTTCTTTTACAAAACACAATACAGAAAAATATGTTTGGAATAATTTAGAAACAGCCGTCAAACAGTTTGTCGAGCAGAGCAGTTCCAGCTCACTGTCTGCAGCACATGTAGCAAAAAAAGCATCACACCTGGGCAGATGGTGGTGTGGAGTCAAGTGGTGTCTTCATGGCAACCTGCAAACCATCCATCCATCATCTCTACACCTTAATCCTCACTAGGGTCATGGGGGGCGGAGCCTATCCCAGCTGACTCAGGCTGAAGGCAGGTTCACCTGGACAGGTAACCAGTCTATCACAGGGCTACACTTAGAGACAGACAACCAAGCACACTCACATTCACACCTACGGACAATTTAGAATCATCAATTAACCTCAGCATGTTTCTGGACTGTGGGAGGAAGCCGGAGAACCCGGAGAGAACCCACGCTGCACAGGGAGAACATGGAGACTCCACGCAGGAAGATTCCGGCGCCCCCACCGGGACGCGAACCGGCAACCTTCTTGCTGCGAGGCAACAGTGCTTATTATATATATATATATAGATATTACATATTTTGACGAATGTATCTATATTAGAATTTCTTTCTCCCTAAAATCAATATCAGCCCCAAAAAGCCGGTATCTGTCAGGCTCTATGAAATCATACCAGCATCTGTGGTCCCTCTGAGTGTCTTTATAGCCTTTATAATGATATTGCATCGTGCATTATTGTAGCATTTACATGCTGCTGCTGTCAATATGGGTGATTAGTGCCTTTACATATGGCAGCCAAAACAATAACAATGCAATAAATGCTATAATCATATGTTTTAAATGTGAAATGTGTTTCTGCCTGTAACCAAATGCAAAGAATCCTAAATATAAACTAGTATGTAATAAAAATAGAAATTGCTTGACTGAAGTACGAGAACCTCAAAACTGAACATTTGTTCCAGTACTTGGGTAAACATACAGCTAATTATGTTGAAGTCCTCCTGCATTATGTGGCATGTTGTGTCTGTACGTAGATCTCAAGGTCATGAGGATGCTTTTTAAAACACGGGTTTGCAAATCTGTCTTCTTTGTCAGCCTTGACTGTAATTCCTGTAAAAAACAAAGGATGCAAAAATACCCCCAAAACTGCAGCTCCGTCTCAGCTTTTGAGCTCAGGAGGCAGCAGCTTGTGATTAATGGGTCCAAGTCCACCTCTCACCCCATCCCTGCTCGCTGGCCTCATGGGGAGATCTTACATAGAACCTCGTGGCTGTGCTTACAGATGGTCAGACTCGTCTCAATGCACTCATCATCTTCAAGGCTGATGCAAACAGAGCTGCTGTTCTGAAGACGTTTAATTTGTGCAGTTTTTTCAGTGTTGTTTTAACAGTTTATTCCAAAACCAGACTTTGGTGATCCGCCGGTTCGATGTGTTGTAGTTGGTGACATACATCATCTGAGTGGTCTGTGGCCTTTTTCAGCCACTTGTTCATTCGTTAAAAGTTGCAGTTTTTCGCTACGACTACATGCAGCTGAGTCAAGCATGACGTATAACTTATTGTCACAAGGATCGTAGAACAGACTGAAAAGCTGCTGAATGCCACTGCTTGTGCCTACAATGGATCCCGCTCGCCTTGTAAATGATCTTAACCTGAAAATTAATACGTATGTTGCAGGTTCACCATCTCCCCAGAAGAGGGGGCTGTTGTGATGTGGTGCCGGAGTCCATTATTGCCGTCATTAGGATCCCTGTGGAAATACTGGATGAACACAAATCCATGTTTGCAGAACTGGTCCAATATGCTGGGAGGCACAGGACCTAATGACTGCATGATTAAAACCAGATGGGACATTATAATTCTTGGTTGCACCCTCACCTGCTGCAGTTGTTTGGTTAATTGAATTACGGTGTGTAAAATAAAAGCACGGCTCAAGAGGGGAATATTTAAACGTTGGTCCGGTCAAACGCCCTCTTTCTGTTGCAGCGCCTTAAACGAATGCTCGGACTGGATCTAGACTTACCATTTGTTACCTGTGAGCTTTAAAAACATTAGCTTTATGCTGGACTTATGAGTGCTACAGAATAAAAAGTCCAAAAAGACAATTTATGAGCTTTGGCAGGGACGGTGGGACAATTAATCTAATTTCTATCTGGTTAAGTGAGCTTATGACTAAATATAACATCCCTGCCCTGTAGATGTCAGTGTAATAGTTGGATGAACTGGGAGGTAATTAATCAGTGTCTTAGATCATAACTGAAATGGAAAGTGAAGGAGAGCAGCTGGGAAGATCAGCACTTCTTTTTAATCAACAACTATATGAAGATTAAATGTGCCGCATAATGGAAAGGAGACTGCTGTCTAAATATTACCCTACACTGTGTGTGTTAATAATTCAGACACCTGTACACACTGGTTTATAGACCTCACTGTGCTGACATTAAGGCATATGTTGGGGTGGGGAAGGCATTTCGGTAAAGATGCTATTGATTTCCTATGCGGGCGTCTGCCAGATAGATTAAGATCCAAACTATTCCTCGCTGAAGAGCTGAAAGTCAGAGCGAGACAATCTTTATTTCATTTTCTGCTCAGCACCTTTGCTAAGCTGTGATTCAGCGGGAGGAGACTCTCTGAGGAGAAGACAATAACATTGAGTCACCTTGCTGCATTGTGAGCCTCTGGCAGCCAAGAGGCAGGATTCAGCAGCAGCAGCAGCAGCAGAGACCACACTGCAGAGCTGCACCGGACTGCGCAGCAACTCTGTGTGTATCTGTGTGTGTAAATTATTATGTATAAGTGGATGTCTATGTAGAGGGGATGATGATAAATCATAACAAGGTCAAATAACGGGAAGCGAGCTACGAGGTGATTACACTGCAGTATTTGTTTCAGCTGTTCTGTCCTTCATTTGGCTGACGAATACACAACAAGTCACACAGAATCACACTAAATTTAAAGTGCTGGTGGCGTTATCGACTCATCCACACAGTTCTCTGTTGCCACTCTCTGCTTGACCTTACAATGCAGAGTCCTGCTTCTCCAAAATGCTGCATATCTTCTTCTTCTTCTTCTTCAGTCCGTTGCGAGTGGGTGGTGCTGCTCCGGTTCTGTGACAGATGTAATCATGCGCTTCGTGATTGGTTCTTTCCTTTAAGATAAAACACAGACGGGTGTGAAAATATAAGAAAACATGAATACATCTATTGCATATCTGGTTTGCTGTTTTAAGATAAAATACAGATTGGTGTGAACATACAGGACAAATCAAACACGTGGTGGATGTAATGCCTGATCGTTCTCCTGAAGGCTTTTCAACCAGGATTAGATCTGGTGACTGCAGAGGCCAAAACATATGATTCACATCATTTAGAAATTCCTCAAAGCCTTCGCCGACCCTCCGTGCCCTGCCTGGACTTGGTAGGTTCCTTAAGCTCTACATTTTATTGTGTGACGGGAATTCCTTTACAGTCAGAACATAGCAAAGCAGAGGAAAAGCTTTCACGCTGCGACTTCTCCGTCATGCGGATAAGACTTTAGCAAGTTTAGAGCGAACTGGTTTTGGTAGAGCTGATGTACTATTATGGGTTTTTTTTAGAGGGAATGCTTTATCTCCCACCGTTCTTAAAGAACAGTGCCTTAAACCACTGGAGAATATTTCAGCAAAGCCTCCCCACAAGGGAACCAGCGTGGCTCAGTTATTTATAATGTTGACAGATGTTTGTTGCTCTCTGCTCCTCGGCCGTCGTACTTTCCTCTCACAAAGGGCAAATCGAGACTGCAGTAATCTATGTTCCAGAGGAAACACAGAAACTCCAGGGTTCTGCATATCTTTCTGGGATTGTTTAATGAGTTTATTGGGATAGCTCACACACGGTGCTGCGTGGAGGTAATCACATTTATAAGAGAATCACAGCACGATGAAGTGAAACCTTGCTGCTCGTCTCTCGGCGCTCAGCAGAACAACTCCTGTGCCAACGCTACTGTGACTTTGAACGCTGCCTGCCCTGAAAGAGCACGAATGAAATTTATGGGTGGCGGTGGTAAATTGGGCAGGTCTGTTTGATGCAGTGTAAGCATTATTGTAATGTGTCATGGTCAGAGAGGCTTTCTGCCCTCAGAGCGTGACGGCAGTGAAGGTGACGTGAGGCTGCCAAAGTTTACCTCAAGCTTTCAATGCAATTAATGCACGGACATGCACTCATGCACACATGCAGGCATGTTGAGCTGCAAGGACGCTGACAGCTGCACAAAGACCTTCCATCACTCAAGTGCTTTTTTGTATAATGACATATTTGAAAATACGTCTACATATACGGTAACCGTGCAGGAGAAAAGACAGATTATATAACATTACAGATCAATACATTTTCTCCCTTAAAGAACGATTTTTTTGAAATGTTTTTGCAAAAAAAAAAGAAGCAAGAAATCTGAATCTATAGATTATTGTTCAGCATAAATGCTTTTATCAGCAAAAGACAGAGCGTTCCAATGTATATTTATGTCCTTGTAATTACATTATAAAACCCCGTCGAGGCGTCACATGTCTAAACTGCTGACTTTTATCCAGCTTTTATTAAATGTGAAAGAAGAATTCTCACTATTCTGTCATAATGATTTAGAGAAAGGAAAGCTGAAACAGGTTTCTCCTGCAGTGAAATACGCCCACCCACGCATTTTTTATATTTGAAATCTCCTCCAATAAATGATCCTGGTTTGGACTGAATGAGCCTTTACCTCACGTCCACGTTGATGAAGACACCATCGTGTTTGAACATTTACTTGCACAGTGAAAGTCTGTAAATGAAGCAGCGTTTTAAGGTGACGCCGTCTGTGTTTAAATTTCACCTACTTGGCTTTGAGCCTGGAAACGTCATCTGATCTTGTTTGTGACCAACTTTTTTTTCTGTTCCTGTGCAAAAACTGTTGAATGGTGCTGCTCTCAAACAAATAAAGGAGCAAAAGGCCGGCTGGACAGTTAACTCCTGCTTTCCTCCTCAGACGTGGCTGCCTCTGGTTAAGCATTCAGAGGTTGCTGGGTTCCTTTAACCCTGTTCAGGACTTTCATGTTGTCGTACGTAGAAGGTGTTTCTGGGTCCACTGGATCCCAGGAAAGAATATGTGCAAAATATGTGTTGGTATTCATTATAGACTTTATGCTGTGTTACATAAATGTTCTGATAAGTTGACGTGTAAATGCAGGACACATGTCCCTCTTTTTATATTTAAATTAAAAAACAACACCTAAACCACATGACCTGGGGTCCAGAAGTCCTGAACAGGGTTCATCCTTTCATATGCATCAGATGATTTATTTTTTTGTTGCTTTCAAGGACTCCAAATATAAAACTATTATAACACCATGCTTAGGTAGTTTTTGTTTTGTGCAAAAATCATTCTCTTGCAATGTTCCACTCTTTTCTTTTTTTTGCAGCTGCACTCAGCTTTTCTCTGCAGGAGGCTTAAATGATTCCTCTGCTGGAGAGCTCTGAACTTTGTTTTAATCATCCACCAGCCTGCTGCTGCTGCTGCTGCTGGGTGGGATCAGGTCTGCTCAGGCTACAACAGAAAGGAGGCGGAGGAGGAGGAGGGAGTCTGGCTGGTATTCTTCCCCTTTAAAAACTATGCAGCCCTAGCGGTGGTGGTATTATCTGGGCTCCCTGGAAGGGGGAGAAAAAAAAAAAAAAAAAAAGGGAAAGTCTGCGGAGGGAGAGGAGCGATCATGGCGGCACCTCTCGGACGGGACAGCCTACCTGATCACTGGTCGTACGGAGTTTGCAGGGATGGCCGCGTCTTCTTCATCAAGTGAGACACTTCTAAACTGCCGGAGGTCACTTTTACGAGGCGGATGCTTTTCTTTTTTCGCCTTCTTGTGCTGTTTTTCCCCTTTATTACCGTTCAGTAACAGGTGTCTTTCTTGCAGTGATAAAACTCGCAGCACTACTTGGCTGCATCCACGCACCGGAGAGCCCGTTAACTCGGGACACATGATCCGCTCAGGTACGCGACAAACGGGCCGGTTAGCGGGGAGAGAGAGGGGGACACGGCGGGCTGCTGCTGCTGCTGCTGCTGCAATGTGTTTTCTGTCTGATCAACGTGTGTTCTTGCTGTAGATCTGCCCAGAGGATGGGAGGAGGGCTTCACGGAAGAAGGAGCCAGCTACTTCATCAAGTGAGTGCACATCGGCCGCATTGTTGCATGGATCGGAACAAAAAAAGAAAAAGAGAAATGATCCCGTGTTGCTGTTTGAAAGTGCTGTGTGAGGAATGCCTTAGCTTTTGTTGAACCGCTGGATTTACAGACTGCAAAGGAAAAAAAAGCTGCATGTACAGAGCATGACCAAAAACACACACCAACATATGGATGACCAGGCAGGGCTCCTATTGGATGGGTGGAGGCAATTATCTCTGCCTGCATTTGTTCAGGAAGGGAAAGTGGCAGAGGCTTGAGCAGGACAGGAAGCAGCCTATTAAAATTCTCCTCACATCCTCCATGCAGGACCTCTACTCTCTCCATTAGATAGGTGTGCAGCAGTGTGTGTGTGTGTGTGTGTGTGTGTGAGACTGTAAAGGTTGCCACAGAGGGGTGTGACCATGTGTTGACAGAGATGTATGGCATGATTGCATTATTGAAGCAGAGAGGACAGGATTCTCAAAGTCACATGCGACACTGTGAAGTTGTTTTTTTTTTTTTGTCAGACTTTCCTGCATAAAGATTTTGTAGGATGGTGAATCGGTGGAAGGCGCTGCATTGTCACGAGCATATATATTTTGTGTGTGTTCTAGATGCTGGAGTGTTCTGTGCATCATTTGTAGCGAGCCGTGGCGTTTCTGCTCTGTCAGTGTGTGTCAGATGTTTACTGTGATGCAAAGCAGGACAGCCAGAGCGAATCAACCATCAGATAGGTCGGACTGACGATGACAAATAGGAGGCCCGCTGGAAAACAGAGTGGAGACGTCTGCATCGGATCTGGATGGTTGTAAACAGAGACTCCTCCCTCCAGGACCGGGCTGCCTGGACGACTGTGGCGGCCCTGTTAGCTTGGCCCATTTGCTCCAGACAGAAGTCCTGCATGGAGCGTTTTACATCCTCAGAGCTTCGGTTACTCTGAGGTTGATGCCATGCGTAGCTCTGACTGATAGACGGTGAAATTATGAAGATATTCCACCAGTTGTACAGACCACAGCTCACACATACAGGTCGTCCAAAACAAGCGGGCGTCCGTACGTGCAGCAGCCACTTTAGAAGTCACTCTGGCGTCCAGAGATACTTTAAAAACACACAAGAGTTTCAGCCAACAAATTTGTTGTTGCTGACACATATTGTGCGTGGCATAAAGGCCGCCTTTGTGCTTCCTTCATTCACTCACTTTTTCTCTGGAACAATACGGCCCAGAGGTCGTGTGATATACGGCCGCCTAAATGTCACGGCTGTGAAATCGGTCGGCCACTTGTTGCCCATTTGGCCCGGTGGAAGGTTCCTGTTTTGCTTGTTTCTTTGTTTCCGAAGGCTCGTTTTCTTGGAGTCAGACGGGAACAAACCGGGGCGGCTGCAGTTCAGCTCATGTTGGACACCAGCTGAGATCCTGACGAGATGCTCTCAGTCTGGATGTAAACCTCATTTAGGTTGTTTAGTCTGTGAGGTTCCTTTTGGCTGATATGTTTCCATCTGAGAGGTGATGGACACGACGGTTCCATCAGAACTCTCTGTGTATATAACCATTCATTACACTGTGGTGTGAGTGTGCTGGACTTCATCTTATATGTCCGTTACCAGTTTGTTTGAGTGATTGTGCTGTCGGCGTGGACGCTGCCAGCTTTCTGTATTTGTTCAGTGCTTCTACAGGAAAGGTGGCTTGTTGAGCTGCAGAGATTAATCAGTTAATCAATACTGTGCTGCTGCTTACTGACTGATCACATTAATTGCCCATTTTAAGCACAAATAGTTGTTGTTTCTGAACTTTCCACAGTTGAGGATGTGATAGTTTTTTCTTTAAAGTGAATATTTTTGGGGTTTGTTTGACAGAAGAAGACAGCTGCTGGTGTCCTGCTGCTCTGTGCTCCAATCAGAGGTGTTTTTCATGACTTTATGGCATTTTGTGTACAAAACTGTTACCAAGTTTGTCCAACAAATAACCGACAGGCGAGCTGATGATGACGATAACCACTAGCTGCTGCCCCTTTGCCTCTTTGCTCACTGTCCTTTAGCTGCAGCTGATTCAGCTCTAAGGCCCGGTTAATTTATTACTACGCTGTTATTAAAAACCCAACTTGGTTTAGAGGGTTAAAGGTTAAACAGCCGACTCTCCATCTGCTTCCGTTATTAATGCTGTTGGCAAACCTGGATCACAGAAGCCTGGAGATGGCTCCAGCTCGTTGGGATTGTTCCTTAAAATCACATTAAAAGAACCGGGACTTGGACTGTGGCCCTGTTTCACACCAGGAATAAGTCGGATTTACCTTTTAGCCAATAACTGGCGATAACTCAGAAATCAAACAGTTTTATATATCCTTCAGTTTTAAACTCGTGTGAGTTGGTTTTGGTGCTGCTTCGTGGAAATCGTGACTCTGATTTTCTGAGAAGCTCTTTTGAAGTAGATCCGACTATTTTTGCACAAAGCAAGTTGTTTGTTTGATAAAAGAAAACTCCTGCAGTGTGTTCTGTTCTTATCGCTGAGCTGTCCAGGAAGCGTCAACAGCAGACTCGAGTATAGAAGTCGGCATGGCGCTGCCGTGACAACAGTCGGTAGATCTGGTTGTGTGTTGACGGTGGAATTTAGCCCAGTTGAAACACAAAGGAGCGATTGTTCAGACACTCGGGCTGTGGCAGAACTCGCACTTATTTACACCTCGCTGTAGGTCAGCCTGGGGCCTGCAGACGCTGAAGACATCTGATTAATGCTCACTGATGTTAGTTTATAGAACGTGTGAAGCATTTCAGCTCATCTAAGGAGGAGGTCCTTATGGTAACATGTCGTTTAAGTTAATTTTACTTCCTGTACGTTGACATCAGTACGATGAACCGCGGAAACCGGAGGGAGAAGGTTTCAAACTAGCGTTGAGCTCTGTTGTCATGTGTGGCAGCAGATTGAAATAGAGTACGTCTGGCTGTCATACTTCTGGCAAATCTCCAAGGAAGTGACCCAATTTGAAAATCATCCTCCAAAATCATCCCATTTCAATCCCTGAAGATAATGCTGCAGATGAAAGAGGTCTGTGGAAGTCTGCACGTCTGACGGGCGCGAATCAATACGAGTGAGCGAAGGAAAACAAAGCTGCTGATCTGGAGATGAAAGAAATTTATGTAACATATAATTAGGTGGCGCGGAGCTACTTTAAGCTTCCTGCTCGAGTTATGATAGTCGTCAGCCTTAAATCTAAGCCGTCAGATTTTAAAGTAAAGACGAAGCCACGTGATTAACTTATCTTATATTTTCCGTTTGCACAGGAAATAGGTTCAAGTCACTCCCGAGTCAAAGCTGGAGAACCTGAGTTCAGGCTGGTTTACTTTGCAGCGCGTCGCTGGCACTCACCGAGCAAAGGAAATGTGCAATTCTATAGCCCCCCGAGGGAGAACGTGACCCCACGGAGGTACAATGGTGTCCTGTTGAGGACACAGTTCACATTGTTGAATGGTCCCACAATGCAGCGGGGCAGTCCAGGACGGCGTGTTTGATATCCTCACGCTGATTCACACCGAAAAATATCTTCTGTCCCGACGCCGTTCGCTCATCAGGTGTGATAGTTTGTTTTATCTCAGATCTTTGATGAATATTTATCTTCCTTTTGTCCAGCTGCTTATTCTGCTTATAGGTTGCGCTTGCATTTTTTAATTCATTTTGTTTGACTATTTTGATCAGGACAGCATGAGTTAATTAGCCGTGAGATGTTCTGGGAGTTCTGAAGCAGGGGATAAAAAAGAGGCGCAGCGTCCCTACAGGCTGTTATCTTAAGGCCGTCTTAATGAAGCTCTCGTTTTCTGCAAACACATCAAATCCATAAGCGCACAGTTGAGGCCAAAACATCGTAGCCAAAAAACAGACTCAAGGTTATTCAAGTTACCTTTTCCCTCTCTCGTTTTAAGTTCTTTTAACATGAAAGTTATTTGCGCATAATTAAGGAGTTATCTTTGTGCCCTGTCGAGGAAAAAAAGTGCATGCCACAAAAATAAAACAAACTATTAAAACTGAGCTTTCAAACTGTCAGACTGACCTTAACTTTTGCAGCTGGGTAGAACTTCTCCCGTGTTTCTTTGTGCAGGATCATTCTGCGTGAGACAGATGGACCACGGTGGATTTAGGATCGGAGTTTTGCTTGACAGGCATCACTGTTAAAGTGTTTTCCCAACTGGTGCTCCTTGGGGCTGAGGCAGGAAGACAGTTCAGTCTGTTGTTGTTTCCTCGTAGAGGTAAAGAAGCAGCAGGAACTCTCTGGTGACACGGTCAGAACCTTTCATCCTCTCAGATGTGGTCACTGTTCAGGCTCGCTGTGACCTCAGAGCTAAACATATGTCATCGGGTTGGGAGATGAGACGTCTCGATTTTGCTGAATGTGTGCAAATGACTTAAAACGGGGACATTGTTTGGGAATCTTTATGGAGGGCCACTGGAGTGTAATGAAGAAAACACACCAGTGAACACCAGCTACACTGAGCTGTTTCACTCGGAGCAGCAGACAGAAGGATCGGTGTGAAGCTGAGATGAGGGTGACAGACAGAATGAGGCAGCTGTCCATCTTCACCGATGGTCTGGTCAAGCCGAGCGCTGCTCCGTGTGCACCAACATGGACTCTGATAATGAGACATCCGTTGCACAGTGTGAGAGAGTTCCCACGTATTCACTGTGCTTGGGTGGTGCAGATAAGAAGGTGTTGGTGACGCTGGTATGCCATGAGGTTCATCCAGCCTCCTGTCACAGATGTTCCACGTAATAAGATCCCATAACAGCAGCAGCTCTCCTGCTCCGTGTGCTCCAGCGAGCTAATATTAATTACATATTTATACGGTGCAGGTGGCAGGTCTGCCCTCAGCTCTGCTCTTGATGAACTTTTCCCCAGGCTTTTTTTTTGTGTTTGCTTATTTGCTTGCTTATTGTGAGGAGCTGCTTTGACACACCGTATGGATGCGTGTTGTATTAACCCTGCTACGCTCTTGTTTAGCGGTGCCAGCTGTGC